CATACTGGATGAGGGGCCCACTTTACTCCAGCATGACTTCTCTTAACTAATTACATCTGCAACAACCTTATTGCTACATGAGGTCACGTTCTGAGGTCCTGGGGCTTAGACCTTCAGTATAAGGGCCACATCCCACCCATAACAAAGACATTCGCAGCAGAGAGAGAGGGAATCAGGGAGTGATGGGATATCTATTTCCCCTGGGCTGGGAAAGTGTAGTACATTCCCCACTTCCTCCACCGAAGGCCACACTTGCTGTCGGAAGGCTCCCAGGACAGCTTCTAGGATTCTGGTGGCTTCTTGTCTTTGCCTTCTCAGAGTTAGGGGTGGTGGCAACTCCCTGATTTGCTAACCTTTTTGCTTCAACTTATCAATTTCCCACCATCCAAGCTTCTTCAGTTGTCCTGCTTGAATACACCCTCTCCCACATGGCAGAAGGGAGCCCCAAACACAGATGATAGGGGAGCGTGTCTGGAACTCTAATGTATATAAAAATCCCTTGAGGCTATTGTTAACTCATGGAATCTGAGGAAATAGTTCCAGGAAAGAGCAGGGCCGAAGATTCTACATTTGTAACAAGGTGTATTAGTCCGTTTTCACATTGTTGATAAAGACATACCTGAGACCAAGAGGAAAAAGAGGTTTAATTGCCTCACAGTTCCACATGGCCGGGGGGGGGGTGCTCAGAATTATGATGGGAGGGGAAAGACACTTCTTACATGGAGGTGGCAAGAGTAAATGAGGAGAATTCAAAAGTAGAAACCCCTGATAAAACCATCAGATCTTGTGAAACTTATTTCCTACTCCAAGAACAGTATTGGGGAACATCCTCCATGATTCAAATTATCTCCCGCCAGGTCCCTCCCACCACATGTAGGAATTGTGGGAGTCCAATTCCAGATGAGATTTGAGTGGGGATACAGAGCCAAACTGTATCACAAGCTTATCGGCAGCGATGCTGAGGCTGCAAGATGGACCAGAATGTGGCATCAGGCCATGGCAGGAATGAGCAACAGGAGGAGGAAAAGTCACAGTGCCTACCAAGGGCTGGAGATGAGGAGATGAGCAGGAAAGGGACGTGGCTAAGTCAGAAAATTAAGCCTTTTATCATGTCCACAGCCAGAGGCCTTGTCGGATTGTGACTTAAGACTAGCAGGGTGTTTCACTGAATGGGATCTGTACCACTTCTGGGAAGGGAAGTAAGAAGGAAAGTAAAAAGTCACACTTTTCTGCTTCCTCTAGTATATTTTCACTATAGTCTTATCTGCACATTATTGCCTTTTAACAAGGGAAGACACACTACCTTAGAAAAGAACGCTCAGACCTTTCCAGCTACCCTGGCCCCACAGACCTCAGAGACATTGGTAGAAGGCCAATCACCAAAGCTGTTTGCAGGCTCAGTGGATGCTCTGGAAACTCTGGGAACCGGGAAGTTTCATCTCCAGGGCCCCAGCTCCTCCTCCTCTGTTCTGTGACAGTTGTCATCTACCCCCACTGTCAGTGCAAGTCCCTGCACAGCCTCTTTTGGAAGGGGCCAATTTAGCTGAATCTCACCTCCCTGTGTCTAGAACTGAGTGACTCAAGGTGTGGGCCATAGAATGATGCTCATTCGCTGTTTGCTACCTCTCCATGATGAGGCAAGGCTAGAAATAAAGAGGAAGTACTTAGAAATGTAATCCAGCAAGCTGACCTTACTGAGACATCCAAGTGCTATCACACAAAATACTGCTACTACCACTGCTACTACTAATAATGGTCTTCAGTAAACTAAAAACAAAAGACACAGAGGATTTGAGATGTACCCTCTAGAAGTCCTTATCCCAAGGGAGGGAATCCCAGGTCAGGCAGTCTCTAGTCAGGGGAACCTGTAAGAGGCCAGGGACTCCATTTCCTCGGCCTCTGGAGTTGGGCTGTGTGGGTGGCAGTCACTCTCTGTGGCCTTCCTGTGAGGACATGCTGAATCAGGGAAGTGGGATCTCTGTGAATATTACCTGCACTTCAGCCCTCAACTTCCACGGCAGGAGGTCTGCAATTTAGACACAGCAAACGTTGGCAGTAAAAACACTGACCAGAGACAGTTAACAGCAAGCGTTGGCCATGAAAGTGCAGACGTTCCTTTGGTGGACCTTTCCACTACAAGACCAAAGACAAGTCTAGTTCACCAGCCCCACACACATGGAATTCCAATGTGTGCCCACTGAGACTCCACTGCAGAACCCTTTTCTGCTTTCCCAGTTTTCTTTCTTTCCTTCCTTTGCCCTTTTCCCTCTTCTCAGCCCTTCAGCCTTTTATTTTTCACAATGCAATCTAGTGAAAGACCGCCCCATGGAAGGTTTCATATACAAGAAATTACTATTTTTATGCACTCTCCCTTAGGGTACGCTCAAGCACAATCCATACTTTTGTGGGCATTTTTTTCCTATAATATGTTTGTAGCCGGAATGTGGAACCAGCTCTGAGAAAATTAAACAGAACAAGAGAAGGCATGTGCCCCACAATTAAAGGAAACACTCCAAGTAGCAATGGGAACCCAACAGGACAGTGTGCTGTGCCAAGCGAAAAATGTGCAGCTGGAAAATCTGCCAAGTGTCCCTGATTTGTAAAGATTTTTTTTCCATATTTAGGTAAATTAATGTAATTATTTAATGCCTCCTGCAATGGTAATAGGATTGTGCTTGGGCCCTTTCAACATATGGTGCTGGCACCAGAATCCTCTTTGAGAGAGGAAAAAGGTGGGGGCAGAGCAAGGCCCAGATCACATTTGCTGGGTTTCATGTTGGAGGTCTGCCTGGCCCTCAGCCAGCATGAGAGGACTGGGACAATTGATTAAGGTCCCTTTACAAGTTGGTGGGTACAGCAGGCACAAATGCCACCTACTGCCATGATTTATGCTCCTTCCCCAATAACCCTGCACACTCCTTTGGGAAGCCTGGACTTTGAATTTGGAATCCACCTGTGTGCAGCCTCTTTCTTCCCTAGGACTTCCAAAAGTTACTGAATGAAGAGGAGGCTGAGTTTCTTTGCTTTCTCTTAAGCCACCCCGTTTCCAAGGACGCCACCATTTTTAGTTCCCTGATTTGAGTGCAGGGATGTCTAGGAGAATTGTACAGATTGTCCCATACTCAAAAATTTTGTGTTGAAAACCATACATAGCAGACGGAAAACCCACTTAAATCCAAAATTTGGATGAATTCTTTTGAATATAGCCTCTAATAACAGAGGCCCATGAGGACACAGGCCACATACATTGCCCAAAAGACAACAGTATAAACAGTAGCCTTTAATTTAAAAAAATTAGAATATTTAGTTTATGCACGCAAAGAGTATAAGATATATTGCCTGTTTTGCACAATGTTTATAACCTCAGAAAGGAGATGAGATAATAAATGATATAATTCTGCTAGGCATCCCTGTACATAGGTCAGGGAACTAAAAATGGTTACAACCTTGCAAACAGGGTGGCCTAAGAGAAAGCAAAGAAACTCAGCCTTTCCTCTCCCAGGAAGTTTTCAAAGTCCTAAGAAAGAGGTTGCAGGCAGGTCGGTTGCAAATGCAAAGACCATGCTTCCCAAAGGAGCGTGCAGCATTATTGGAGAAGGAGCGTTTTTCTCCTAAAACAATCATAAACAAAGGAAGACAACGAATGGGGTAGTGTGGACCCTTGTCTCCATGCTATAGAAAGTTCAGGGAAATAAATGATTGCATGCCACAGTTGAAACTGCCTTAGAGGACTGGGTAGGACTTGCTTCCTCAGATAGAAGGGAAAGATCCATTTCAGGTAGTTTATACAAAGTTCGGGAAGCAGGAATAAAAATGATGTGGTTAGGGTTTTATGAGGAGTGGAGTAAAGAGTACCTTCAGGGTAGGAGGGGAAAATGAGATTGGATAAGCAACCTTGGAGAGCTGTAAAAGCAAGTTTTCTAAGGATAAAAAAAAAAAAAAAAAAAAGCTGTTGGCCGTGTGTGGTGACTCACACCTGTAATCCCAGCACTTGGGGAGGCCAAGGTGGGTGGATGACTTGAGGTCGGGAGTTCGAGACCAGCCTGACCAACATGGTAAAACCCCATCTCTACTAAATACAAAAAAAATTAGGCAGGCATGGTGGCACATGCCTGTAATCTCAGCTACTCAGGAGGCTGAGGTAGGAGAATCACTTGAACCTAGGAGGCGGAGGTTGCAGTGAGTCGAGATAGCGCCATTGCACTCCAGTCTGGGCAACAAGAGCAAAACTCCATCTCAAAGAACAACAAAAAAAAGCTGTTACATGCTCCAAGATCTCTAAACTCTCATTTTTCTGTGACAGTTAACTTTCAACTCACAATGCCATTATCCTTCTTCCAGGATAATTTCTATTTCCCCTCTAGGGATCAGTCAAGGAATTGATGCTTCTGTGAGTCTCACAGTGGTTGAAGGAATGGCCCCCAGTGGACATCCTCAGCTTCCTACCTTCTTATGTTGATGAGAATAGCCTAGGCTGGAAGCCAGCATCTGAATCAGAGGGCCCTAAAGTCATGAGAAGTGACCAAGTGGCCAGTTCCATGTGGGATTGTTCCATGTTTATCTCAGATGCCATGGCAGTTTGTAGCCAGAAGAGCTGGACTGTGGTATATATGGATATTGGCTCTGAACTGATAGCTGCATTTTTCAAAGTGTAAATCCGAAATCTAGGTTAAGGCACTGAGAGAACCCTTCCAGAGTCTTGGGGGCCCATGAAAGACTTTCCAATTCTTGAATTTAGACCACTTCTTCATTATTTCCAGACACATTCAAAACTGCACATACTTCTAGAAGTGGGGTTCAGTGTTTTCTTCCGATGTGACATCCTTTCCACAACTTTGTTCATAACAGTCTGATAAATTAATGTAATTATTTGATGCTTCTTGCAATGGTAACTGGATTGTGCTTAGATAGACCCTTTCAGCATATGGTACTCTTTGGGGTAAGAAAAAGCAGGGACATATCAAGGCTCAGATCAAATTTGCTTGTTTTCCTTCCACCAGGAAAACAAAGAAAAGGAAAGAAAAGGACTGTACTTCAAAAAATGCCAAACATGAGAGCGTGTGATGAAATATCCATCTGCACTGTGGAAGCCTGACATCTTGATGCATTGAGACCTAGGGGCCAGTAGGTGCCTAACCAATATGTATTCATCGAATATGAGCTGAATGAGTAAATGAATGAAATTGTAAAAGTCCTGGATTCTGAACCTGAGCTTGTCTTTAACACGCTGTATTGTTGTCAAGTCACATCTCCTCTGGGATTCTCTCTTCATTTGCTAAATGGGTATATTTCTTTTTTTTTTTTCACTTAAATAAATAAATTAATCAAATGAGATTATGGGTGCAAGAATCCAGCTACTGCAGTTGGTGCTTTACAAAGGAAAAGGATGACCATCAGTACTGCTGTGTACATATATTCTTGGAGGAGTCAGTTAAACAGTCTGACTAGCTATGGCATTCAAGACACCACCCAAACAACAGAGGGATTTTCCCCATCATGTCTTCTGACACTAGATCTCAAAGCAGATGTGAACAGTTTTGATTGCTTTTTCTGTATAGGCAAGATAATGTAAAGTGTGAGAGATCATCAATGACTAAAGACCTTTCATTCTAGGAAGGCTCCCTCAAGTCCATTAGGAGTCTTAACACCTGAGTTTTATTATTCTGATAATTATCAGTTTCCATGATTTTAGCAGTTCTCTGACCCAAGGAAGGCTGAAAATATATCAGAATAAGATCTTTGTAGAACACCTATCTACTCATTTATTAACTAATTCACTCATTCAGTGACATTTTTGAGCTGTTGCTCTGTTTTGATGATATGCTCCATGACAGATTTTTTAAACACCGTTCTCAATAAACTTACAGTTGTGTTGGAATAGATATTATTTTAAGTCACATCTTCATGGAACTCGTAATAAATTGGTATTATTTGCAATGTTAAGAAGGATTCTGAGGTCACAGAAAGAATGACAAAAATGTTATAATCTACACACAGTATTTCCAGTGGGTATAGTAGGGGAAAGCAACCATATATTTCCTACACATAAATGAATGTAAAAAGAAGGCAATGTTCTTCAATCTTAGGACTTAATGTTACTGTATTGATATAATACCAGCTGCTCTCAAAATAATCCCCAAAATATAATGGCATAAACATAATAGAAGTTTACATTACACTCACATAAAGTCTGAACTGGATCTTCCTCACTGGCCATTAGCTTGTCTCCAGGTGGTGATTCAGGGATTCAGGTTTCTTTTATTTTGTGGCTCTGTGATCTTTAACATGGAATTTCTAGGTGATTGTGTTCTTCTGTAGGAAGCTAGCAGAAGAAAAAAGGAGGGGGATTGCAGGCACCCCTGCTTCTCAAGTTCTTTGGTCAGAAAGAGTCACCCAGTACCTTTGCTCACATTCCGATAGTGACGTTCCACAGCCCCATATGGGTGCAGGAAGACAGGGAAACATAGCCCTGGCTGGGAAGCAGTTTCCTAGCAACCAGACAGTAACTTTGGTGAAGAGGAAGCCATCTCTTCACAGTATCCTGATTTCTCCCAATCATGTTTGCTTGAGCTCATTTTTGTCTTTTCTTCAATGAACTTGAACCTGACACCCTTTATCCAGTCTAAATCCCTGTATATAGAGACTGTTCTCATTCAGCTTCTAAGACAATCATTTCTAATTCCCTTCTGACTTGCTATGGAGCAAAACTAAGAGACAGATCACACCTCTTCATGTTCAGGGCTCTGCCAGGTGTTGTCAGGCGGAGCTGTTTAAGGAAAAATACCCAGCGGAATAGACAACCATGAAGCTCCCTGTGACTTGGCCCCAGGGAGAATGCAAGGACCTGAGCCTCTGCTCCTTAAGCCCTTTACTGCGACTGGACCTTTACAACTCAATGTTTGAAGCTGTGGGACTGCTTAAATAAACATGCTATTCTAACAGTGCCTAGCAGCCCAATATACAATTAATTTTACTGTATCTTGCAAGCCATATGGAGCCTTTATTGCAGAGGACAGCATCAGATCTTTGTATAAATACTAGCAGATAATTTTATATAATTTCATTGTGGTTAAGCGGTGTTTTTTTCTTTCTTTTTAATTTAACCCCTGTGATTGCTAATTATGAGGCTCCTCCTGATTTCTTCATCACCCTGTCCCATGAAGCATAAAGGAGAATCACTGAGTGACCGAGTCATCCGCACTGATTCCTCTGGAGTGTCTCTCTCTAGCAGTTAACTGTAGCGTTTTTTCTGGAGCAGGAACAAGGATGAAACCAGCATCTGGACTCTGCTGCGGAATTGGGCTACCCAGGCAAAGCCAGGAATATGTGTCTTCCTCCACTCTCTTTCACAGACTCTCCACTCCAGGGGAGCAGGCAGAATGACTCAGTGAAAAGAGAAAGCCAAGACTGGGTTTATATCCAAGCTCTCCCTTTACTTGCTGTGTGAACTTGGCCACGAGGCAACTTCTATGAATCTTATTTACTCACTTATAAAATGGGAATGCTAATTCCCCCTTTTTGAGTTGTTGAAAGGTTGACTTGAGCTAAACTAGCATAGTACCTGTGGAACATCATGGGGTCAGGTATCTATCTATTAGGGCACAGTGATGAAATTTCTTATAACAAGAAACTCCTTAGCTCTGTGCCTTAAGACCATCTAAGTTATTCCTCACTTACTCAAAGTCCAGTGAGGGTGTTTCTGGTAGGGGAGCTCTTCAGAGTGACTGTCTTTCAGGGGGTGTCTTGAGAAGTCAGCTTCTATACTGTGTGTCTCCTCCTCTTCCTCCTCCTCCTCCTCCTCCTCCGTCTCCTCCTCCTCCTACTCCTCCTACTCCTTCTTTTTCCTCTTCGTCTTCTCCTTTTAGATGGAGTTTTGCTCTTGTCGCTCAGGCTGGAGTACAGTGGTGCAATCTCAGCTCACTGCAACCTTCACCCCCCAGGTTCAAGTGATTCTCCTGCCTCAGCCTTTCGAGTAGCTGAGATTATAGCCACGTGCCACCACGCCTGGCTAATTTTGTATTTTTAGCAGAGAAAGGATTTCTCCATGACTGATCTTTGAACTCCTGACCTCAGGTGATCCTCCCATCTCTGCCTCCCGAAGTGTTGAGATTACAGGTGTGAGCCACTGCACCTGGCTCTAGGCTGTCTTTTATAGCCTTGGAGGACAAGAGAGAAAAAGGTGGTGGAAGAGACTGTAGGAGGCATTCCGGCCAGCCCTGAACATGGTGCATACATCATTTTTGCTTATGGTTCATTGGCCAGAATCAGTCAAGGCTCCCACTTAAATGCAATGGGTAGAAGTGTGAATATGGGAAATGTAGTTTAGCTGAATAGAAGAAAAGGGAATGGGACATGAATGAACACCAGCAGCATCTGCTACAGCAATCAATAAAGACAATGCTCCTCCCCTTCCTCTCTGGAGTCTATGTTCCCCCGGAGCCAGCACATAAGCTTTGAATATCCCTGCAGACACCCTCGCCTGCCTCCTGCTTGATGTCTCTTGCTCTGCACCCTACTGTGCTGGGTTCTGCCTCCTCTTGCAGACTGGCACATGATACTGCATCTTGGGCAAGGGATGACTCTCTGAGTAGCCACCGATGGGACAGATGAAGTGACCTGGAAGCAGTCAATCTTTATCAATGAGAAATAAAAGAGAGAGCTGGGCAGATAAATCTCCCTTCTTCCTCTCTCCTGGGAAGTGCCCTTGTGTGCAGTCTGTCCTTGCAGCCGAGGACAGTCTGCATGTCACTTTGTGGTGCATTACAAAGTGGTGGTCAACGCACTAAGGTGCGTACCGCATTGCTTCAGACCTTCCTCGTGTCTCACCCTCGCCATTCTGTGCTCATACATCCCACATGAAGTACGGCATCCCGGTGGTTGCCATAGACTCTATTTGCCAGATGACTAGGGCTAAGGGTGCTGTCCTTCCATTATTAATTATCTATTCTATTATTGATCCTCTCCAGCTCTTAGGTCCTGAGTTCTGATAGCACCGAGCTAGTTTCAGATCCTCAAATGAGGCACTCCTTGCTCTTGTCACCCCTAGGTCTTTGCCCAAGCTCTTCCTTCTGCGGGAGGACCTCTTCACTGTAAAACAGCTGCTTTTCCAGCTCCTGTTCAAGATATTCATCTTCGGTGACTTCCAAGTAGACCCAATCTCTCCCGTGATTTAGCTGCCTGCACAGTACAAGCAACCTAGTAGATGACTTAAAATAGTTTTTCAATATATGAGTGATGTTCTTGCTTCTTTACTTAGGAGACCCTCCTGTATGTGCCTTTCAACGCAGAGCTATAATAATAATATTTATAATGATAACCAAAAAATCATCCTTATTAAGCACCTGCTCTGTGCCAGCCTGTGCTGGCCATTTCATAGTTGTTTATTGGCTTCTGTATTCCTCCCAGTTGCCCTGCAAGGTGGATAAGTGATTTGCTCAAGGTCGTGGTTAATGAGTGGCAGCGCTCGGATTTGAACCCAGCCTAGTCTGATTCCCAAGCATGTTCTACTATTTTTTACTCCAAAATGCTGCCGGTATTGACGCTCCTGAATGATCCGACAGCCGCAGGCCAAACCATCCCACAGGCCGTGGAATCACATGGATGGACAAGAAACGTCCTTGCCCCTTGGCCTGTGCGTTCTCGGGTGGAGTCCGTCTGCTGGGTGCGCTGCTTCCTTTCAGGGCTGTGCGGACTTTCCTTCGCTGCATGGATCAGGATGCAAGATGGACTTCCCCCCACCCTCCGAATCAGTCTGTTCCTCCTGGGGCCATTCAGCTGACAGCTGCGGAAAGGACAGCGCCTGCTGAAAAAGGGTCCATAATTTCCCTCTGGCAAGAGACGGCAGCCCAACTTTGGAGGGGACAATTAGCGTGCTCTCAGCTGGAACAATGGGGAGCAGCAACAGATGCTTCTCGTCCCAGGGACGCTCCGAACCGCAGCCTCCTGCTAATGGGAGGCTTTCTTCTTCCCTGCCCGGGAAACCTGGCAGCCTTGCCAGCAGCTCGGGTAGGGTGGGGGTGGGGTTGGCTGCTGAGCTGGGAGGAGAGCGGCATTTTCAGCGCAAACCAGAGGAGCCGGGCCTGCAGGAGTCAGTCACGGCTCTCTCGGGGGCTGGTGCGCCACCCCACCTTCCTCCCGGATGAGCAAGGAACCAGAGCCATTTCTACTCTGAAGCAGGGTTTTGGCAAACTCAGAAAATGTTGCAAGATGGTTAAGAGCCAGAAATCCACAGCGGACCCACGTGAGTCTGAGGCCCAGAATGGCCATTGACTAGCTGTTGCCCTCGGAAAAATTTTTAACTTCTCTAAGCCTCTGTTTCCCCATTTATA